TTAAAAATAAATAATAAAAAAAGATGATAACAAGCACTAAAAAAACTTTTCTAGATACATGATGGTCACAACTGTTTGTGTGTTTATAACAAAAGAAAGTATATCCTGATAACAATTAACATTTGGTTATTATTTATTTATTTTCATGCCTTTTTGCTGAGAGACTGAATGAGGTATGTCAGTAAGTCTCTAGTAGAAAATATTCTAAACTTCGTAAGATAAAATAAGTTCTGAATAAGGATAATTGAAATCAGTTTGGGGTGTGTTTGTATGTGTTTTGTGTACATGTGCACATGTTTGTGTATGTGTGTAACTATAGAAACCAAAGATTGTGAAATAAATGTTTTGTGCTGTTTGATTGAATAGGTGATAACTACCTTATTAAGTAGTAATCTGAAAGAAATTATGTGAAATTTATGTCTACAGCTTTTATCCAGTGTGTTTTGAGCATGACGAACTGAATTTAAAGAGTAAGCATCATTTGCATGTGCTAGGGCCTTTCTGATGTCCTATAGACCTGTCCTAGGGATGAAGAAGCATTGATAACAGTCAGAGGGTGGTCTGAACACTCAAGGAGTTTGGAGTCCACTTTTATTACATCTCAGTGTGCCCTGTAGATGATAGCATCTGTAAGAATCTCCTGGCATGAGTTCTTAGACTTGACCTGCTCCTTCTCACCTCTGCAGGCTGTGCTTGCAGCTCCATGGCTGAGGTGCACTCAGCTTCTGTAGCTTCTTTTATGTCCAGAAGCCATGTTTCATGTCTTCCATGCTAACTAACAAATGCTTCTTTAACTAAATTGTGCTTTTGCCAGATTTTCATGTGTCTTGTTAACAAAAAAGTAAGATAGAATTGAAAGCTTTCCGTAGACTTTTGCTTATTAGGATTAAAGCTCCCTAGAGTCCTAGTCCTCCCATCCTACCTTTTAGAACTGTTTCTACTCTTTTGCTTCTAGTGTTACTCAATTCTCTTACATTCAGTGTGTGTGTGTGTGTGTGTGTGTGTGTGTGTGTGTGTGTGTGTGTGTGTGTGTGTGTGTGATATGTGATATAATCCTGGCCAGCAACATCAGCATCTAGTGAAAATTTGTTAGAAATGTAGTCCCTTGGTCACACTCAATCAGAAAGTCTAGGAGAAGTGGCCCCATTATCTGTGATTTAACAGGCCTTTCAGGTGTTTCTGGTGCACACCATGACTGAGAAACTCTGCCTTGATTCCATCTGTCTGTATTGCTCACCAACTAGAATCCTAATTCACTTAGAAGATCATGCCTTCCCAACAGACTTGTGCTCTCTCCCACAAGACTCCCATGGAGTCTCTTAGAGCATTTACATCTTCTGCATCTGTCTATCTTTGAAGGTGGTGGCCACAACATAAATTCCTTTTCATCTCCATATAGCCCTTTCTCAGTGGTCTGTTAATAAGTGCTGATGAGCAAGTGAATGTATGCATGAATGAAGGACAGCATTTTAGGAGGAGTCATGATCAATAAGGTCAGCTGCTGTGGAGAGATCACGGAGAATAATGAATGAAAAATCTATTGGATTTCACAGTAAGGCAGGTGTTGGTGACCTTTGAAATGCTTGCTTCAGCAGAGTGATGGGCAGGAAGCCCAGATTGCTGGAAGTTAGGAGTGTCCAATATGATAAGGACTTACACATTTCTTACTGTTTATCTGAACATACAGGAGTTAGGCCTGAATCCTCCATAGTTTGGGAGATGCTGAAATTCAGCAGAGTCACCCTCTAGGTCAATCAAAAGACTAACTTCTTACTTTTTATTTCTCCATGTGTTGTCAAAATTGGGTGACTAGCTGTGTGTAGTTGCATATGACTTACATACCAGAATTCAAGAGGCAGCAAGCTTCAGGCAGTCTGAGAGTTAGAGGTCAGCTGATCTGCATAAGAAGCAGCCAGGGCTACATAGTTCATCACTGTCCCAAAACAAACCCTGAGCAAACACCCTGGGGATTCCCTGGAAACTGAAACCATAAAGCAGACATTTTGGTGTAGTGTAGAATCTCCTCTCTTCATACCCTCCTCTATGGTTCATCGCCTGGACTCTTGAGAACCTTTTCATTGTGAACTAGTTGGGATTTGTCATTACTACTGTAGACTGGCTAGCCCAACATCTTCTGCACTACGGTCAAAAACTGGGCTTATGTCTATCTGTGTAAGCAAAGTTTTACTGCAACAGGCACATGCAAACTTTCACTTCAGCTTTATGGATGTGTATCTCTGTCCATACTCTAATGCATGAGTCTTTGTGAAGGAAAAGTCGTAGCTTACAAGATTGCTTCTATACATCAGGTCCTTGTAGAATATGCTGTTGACCCTGCTGCCCATGTTGTTTAATCACACAATTCTTACCTCTCTGTATCTGTATAAAGGATGATCATAAACTGATGAGATGCTCAGTTGTAAGGTGCTTGCTGTCAGGCATGATGATGAGCACATGGTAGAAGAGAACCTCCACAAGTTGTTCTCTGACCATTTTGGGAGCACCATGGTACATATGCATACCCACAAAAACATCAAATGTAAAAAAAAATCAAAATAAAGATCAGGAAATACCTGTATATCTTACTGTTGGTTACAAATGGTATTTAGGGTGAATCAGTTTTGCCTTGTATATTTGTGCTTTTGCAGTTAGTCTGAAAATTTCCACCCCCTACCCCCTTCTTATTCGGTCTCTTTCTCTTTTGAAACCACCATCCTCTTAGCTGCTTAATGACTTGGAAGACGGGGTAACACTTTAGTCACTGAATACTTCTGAACATGAGTCTGCATTCGCTTTGCAAAGTTTCAAAATGCCAAACACATGCATAAAATTCAGAATTTGGTGTCAGACCCTTTCTCTGCGGTCCTTTCAGTCTCTCATCTGTTGTGGTAAGAGGACAAACCCAGGCTTGTCTGACCGGGTTGGGGAGGCCTGGTGAAAGGGACACAGAAGAGGGGTACATTTCCCTGAGTTCAACACTAGGCTCCAAGCAGATCACGCACTCATCAGAAGGCTGCACAGGAGAACAAGATAGCAACACCCCTCCCTTGCCGTTTGCAGCCTAAATACCCTGTGGAGTGAGGGAAGACTTCAGTCTGCAGGCTTGTGAATCCCTTATCTTTCCCAAACGTTAAATTAATTTTTAAAGCTATTTATTCAAAGTTGACTTAACCACCAGAATAGGAGAGATCAGACAAATCAGCTGCAAGAAATGAAGTATGGGGAAACCCGAAGTCTTTGACAAAGTATTCCTGGGAGTAAATGTGTTGAATGAAGCCAGCGGGTAGATGATAAGGGCCTTTACACTGTAGATGTAAGAAAGCAATTTATCAAGAGTACATGAACTCTCTAGTGGCTTCAAGTCAGGAAGAAATGAGAGTGGAGGAGAAGCCCTAAAAATACATTAGAAATACTTTTTAAAAGAAAAAAAACCTCTGTATGAATCTCTCCATTATTATGCAGAAGTGCTGGTATGTTTAAATTGGGGTTGCTCAGCTTGTGTTTGCACTGTAGGCAATACTTCTGTGAGGTAAAGTGTTAGGCCATCCTCAGGAACCTTGGGTCTTCTCAGGTATAACTATTTTAAGGTAGAGCACTGTCTGGTATCTATTTGCCTGACTTATGAGGTCAGATAACCATCTTGCTGGTTTACAGTGCTTGTGTTTTCACTCTCTAGGGCATTTACTCTTTAGCATATAGTCCTGACAGTTCATTGCAACACCTTTTGTGTCCTCTTGAGGAATGATGGGCCATCTCTTGAATCTTGCAGTGTCTCTCAGTCCTGAGGCTGAGGCATAAATCGCCTTCATTTACAGTGGAGAATCTGGGACCGCATACTTTGGGTTCTCAGCAGTAGGGTTGCCAGTGACTCAGATATGGATTGGAAATAAAACTCAGTATCTTACCTTAGGGGTTTTAACTTTAGGGAAGAGGTGCTATTTCATAAAACTGAGGAAAAAAACAGTGTTAGTGAAATGTGAAATTCTAGATATTTTCTCTAGGAATGGCCATCCTCAGCTTTCTCCACTATTTAATTCCATTAGCTGAAATCATAGAAACTTCCAGTTGTAGTCATTTGTTTTTATTTTCAACTGACACCCTTGTAAGAACTCTTTAACAACATAAGTAACCTTCAGATATTACACAAGTTAAGACAAGATTATCCCACAGGCAAACAGGAGAGAAATTTGGAGAACTAAAGTTTCAGAAAATCTCCCTTAGCTACTTTGAGTTGTATTTTTTCAGCCCTCGGCACGGCAGTCTGCTTTGCCTTACTCTTCCTGAGTTGTTGTTGTGATTGTGGTTATTTGCTTGAGAGGACTTTCCTGTGTAGCCCTGGCTGGGCTTGAATTCACACTCCTCTTTACCACTCCCCCAAGTGCTGAGATTACAGTTACACAGCCTTCACCCTGCCAGATTTGAGCTAGGCCTTTAACTCTGCAATTAATTTAGAAGATATTCTTCTCTCCTTTAAACTGTTTAGGAATTTTAAGGGATGTTAGCAGAAGTGACTCCTTTTCTATTTGAAAGGAAGGTCTCACTAAGGCCCTAGGATGTATTCCTCCACCTTAACTGATATTATTGGCATGCACCACCACACCTGCTTTAGGAGGTGACTCTTACTTGAACAAATGATAATGGCACAGCCTGTTTTTACAGTGTGAATTTGGATTTCTGTGTTTGTGTGGGGCAATACAAGGCATGGTGATAACTTGAGCTAGAGTTTAATTAGCAGATTAGTCACATTTTTAGAAAAAGCCACATTCTCAATGATTTTCTGTAAGTTAAATGTTTGTCTGATGTTGTCTTTCTTTCTAAATACCAAATCAAAGGGGAAGGGGGGAAACAGGAAGTGAGGGCTCTTGCTTAAAAAATCTATGGTTATGAGCTGTCTGACAAAATGGACCTTGGATAATGCCCAATAATGTTTCTAATTTTTTTTGTCTTTTCTGTCTCCTTATCCCCATCCCGTATCTGGAACATTGGTGGGATGAACACAGCCTTGGATAAGCTCAGCACACAGCACCTGTACCACCCCACTCAAGTGGAGATCGTGCAGTCCAATGTGGTGTTTGACATCAGCAGCCTGATGCTCTACGGGACACAGGCGGTGCCTGTGCGGCTAAAGATACTGCTGGATCGGCTCTTCAGTGTCCTGAAGCAAGAGGAAGTGCTGCACATACTGCATGGCCTGGGCTGGACCCTGCGGGACTATGTCCGAGGATACATCCTTCAGGTAGGGGAGAATTTGAGTGTTCAGTCTTGGCCAGCTCTTGGTGGTTGGATTAGAGCTCTGGCTACACCTGGTTCTCTTCTTTCTCTAGTATACCCAGATAGGTGCACTCTCCTCTGATCAGGGAGTAGGAAAGAGAAGCATTTGGTCTGTGGGCTACTGTCAGGCCTCAATAGTATATAGCAAGTGATCTGTTGACTAGTGTTGCTTTGTGTATGCTTTTGAGTTCAACTCTTCCACTCAGGAGTGGGCTGTCTTATTTGTTTGTTTGTTTGTTTGTTTGTTTGTTTCAAGACAAGGATTCTCTGTGTTGTCCTGACTGTCCTGGAACTTGATTTGTAGATCTTGAACTCAAAGAGATCTTCCTGCTTCTGATGCCAGAGTGCTGTGGGGATCAAAGGCTTGCAACACCATCACTTGGCTTAAAATGGGCTGTCTTATTTCCCTCACTAAGTCTTACTGTCTTTGAGATGCATGGAGAGTTTTGAAAACCTGATGTTACCCTCGGTTTGTGAAGATATTTTTCATACCTAAAAGGCAAAATCTACTTGGGTGCTGTGAACCCTCGCTATTTATTATGTCTTCACCCAAACCAAGAAAAGAACTGTAACCTACATTTTCAGTTTGTATTAGTTACTTTTCTGTTGTTTTGGTAAATCCCCATGACCAAGGCTGCTTACAGTAGACTTCATCATGACTTGTGGTTTATAGGCAGTGGTAACAGGTAGCAGACATAGCAAAAGGAAGAGAGCCCAGTGCTCTCTTATCTTACCCATAAACAAGAAGTAACAAGTGCAACCAGAATTGGCAAGTCTTTAAACTTTGAAGCCTAATTCCAGTGATACACTTTCTCCATTAAGGCCACACTTCCTAAACCTCCCCAAAAGGCACCACCAACTGGGCACGAAGTTGTGAGCCTGTAAATGAGCCTGTAGAAGACATTCTCATTCAGACCACCAGGCTTTAAAAGTTACATTGTTTTCTGATATGCCCCAAGATAAGACTGTTTCAGAGAAGCAAATGGGCAGCTACATCCTAGGAACCAGGCAGTATGAAGGGGTGCAAGATCCAGAATGCAGAGCCAAGACAAAAGAAAGCATAGGGACCACTTCCACAGTCACTGTACAGGCTGAGACCCGTGGAGTACCAGATCCTCCTGCAGTGGTTGCCACGCTACTGTCAACAACTCTTTTGGATACATTTTTTTCCTCTACAAAAAAAAAAAAAAGAAAAAGAAACCTCTGCCTGGAGTAGTTATCTAACAGTTTCCTTTATTCAAAACTCTCCTGGTAACATCTTCACAGTCTCCCCTGTGGTGCTTACTTTTGCATCACTACAGTATTTCAGCATCATGACTGTTTCTTGCCTTACATAATGGGAGCACATGTGTTGTGTCTTCCTAGTCAAATAAACAAGTGCATGGTCTACCATCATAACAACTCTCTATTAACTCCTGTCACATTTTTATATCAGTTAATAGAAAACCTGCCGACTTCTCTGTGTTCATATAACAGTGCTGTTTTCTACTCTCGTGATTTTACCAGAGCTTTTTAAAAAGTGTGAAGTAATTATTTAATTCCCCAACATTCTATTATGTCTCTACAGTATAGAAAATACACTTATTTCAAATATACTTACCTTTCTTTTGTAGGAGACAGTTACAAGAGAAGTATGAAAGAAAAAGTCAGAAAAAAGCCTCAAACTAACATATATATATATATACATACATATATATACAAAGCCTTTTAATAAAAAGGAAATTTCACATATGAAGAATATTACCATTGATATAAATTTTCACTAATATAAGTTTTGACAAATCTCAAATTTAATGTATCATTTCTCAAGAATCTTGTATTTATAGTTTGAGAAAATCATAGATTTTGCATATTACAGGAACTCTCAGCTTAGTTTCTGTTTTATTGATATAATTGATTTAATATTGATTTTCTTTAAATGGCATGTTCTGTCATTTAGCATTTATCACATACTTATTCTGTATAAAGCACTTCTGGGGTTAGAATAAAAGCAAAAGGTTTCAGGACTCAAAAACATTAAAAATTACTTATTGAGAAAACATGCATTTTGTAAAAGACAAAAGAATTTAGGCTATAAAAACATCCCCTTTCTTCTAAAGATTTACTTTAGAATTATTTGTAGGAATGATGAGGTATGCACAAATGACTTTGTATATAACATTTTTATACAGGTAGACTATAAAATGTTCATCTGAGAGCTGGCGAACCCTATAATGCACCATTAGTGTACAAATCATTTTATCTGGCTAAAACTCAATTGTCTTGTAGCCCTCAAGGCATCAATTTTAGCATTATTGCTCTCAACAACAGTATATTGAATATTATGTCAGTTAAAGGAGAGTAATTATCAAGGCAAGTTAGGGTGGCTGTTAGTCTTACCACATATTGACTTGGTTAGCAGTTGGCTATAGATTGTGTTACTGGGGAAATGAAGATGTACGGTGAGTTGAGCTGGTCAAGCCAGGATATTAATCTAACTCTCTCTGGACCTAAACCTCCATTCTTTATGTATAGCCAACTACTCCTAACTTTAGCAAGAGTGTTAAATGTGGAAGAGGGTATGTCATCTGTTTTTTAACCTGGAAGTGTGTGTTTGAGGGAGACTAGAAGACCATTCAAAACTCATGTGAAAGCTATTATTTGTGTATGATGTTCAAAGAAAGAGGAAGCAAGCAGGGATGCCCACAGTCATTGGAAAGCTTGGTGTGTCTGTTAAGGAACCTTTTGTTTAGGTGGCATCTATGTCCTATATAAGCCAGTTAAGTGTAAAATGCATAGCATAACTTGGACCACAACCATGTAAGAAAGGTGGCCATTTCCTAAAGCCTTCCTTCATTCAGAAAGCAGAGAGGGAACATGTTCTGAAAAAGTAAAATGGAAATATTCATTTAAATGCTAAAATATAAAGATAAGGGAACATATTTTTGCTACTAAATAATAATAACATCATCCTTACATCCTCTATAGATACATTTATTGAGAACCAATTAAAACAGTAGCCTGTCCTCTTGTAATCTTCTTCATTTCCTTTCTGTCTTTGACTCAAGAAATAAGTACAGATGATTGTCATTGTTGAATTTAGTCGTTTAAACTTAAAATTTTTACATAATCTCTCTTTAGCTTGAACATATAGCTAGCTTGGGTGCATGTACCATACGTCTTTGTAAATCTCCCCATTTGTAAGTGAGTCCATCCAGAATTCTGAGAACCAGCTCAGACTTCCTTGTAGTTAGAAGAGTACCATCAGCCCATGAGCAGAGCAGCAGTGATGCCCATTGCAGGTCACCTGGGCCTTAATGGAGCAAGCCATGCATCTCTAACCCTTCCCAAAGACTGGCATCAGTCCAAGAAGTCTAACTTTCAATGTGGGAGAAACTGCATCCCTCCTTGAGCACATACTATACATGAGAATTTTTGAAGAAAATACCTCTTCCTCAGCATGGGCTCCTCTTAGAGAGGGTTTATTCTACCAGCAATTACCCAGTGTTCTGCCTGCATAGGTAATTTCTTCTCCTATAGGAATCAGTTGAAACACAGTTTTTCACCAGGACTTGCTGAAACAATGGAGTCCTTCCTTTTCTGTTGTGATTTTTTTTATCACAAAATTGCTTCCTTTAAGCTCCCACCACAGTTTCAATAGTCAGCCAGTTGTTAAAATGTCTTTCCTGCCATTGCTATCAAGTACTATAAATTCACTCAATACATAGCAGTTAAATGCAAATATTCTTAAATATACAGTGTCATGATATTTTTTACTGTGGAACTCATGCAATACCCAGGAATTCCCAGTTGGTCAAAGGGCCTTTAGCCTTTCTCCTTACTTACTAAGGGCTGTAGCTGTGCTATTGAAGGGAGCAAGAAGCAAAGACTTCCAGGCTTCTTAGACATGGTCTGTGCAAAATAACATTGTGTGGTATCTGTGTGGTAGAAAATGTCAATATTAAACAAACAAATATTTATATAATCCCGTGAGAAGTAAATTCAGTATTTGTTCTCTGGATCCCCATCGACACCCTCTTGTAGTTACTTTCAGCAAATTAACATTTGGTGCACTGAGGTCCAAAAAAGTTATGTGACTTTTCTGTGATCACAGAAACTTATAATTGGCCCAGTGATGTACTGTGAGCTTCCGGAATGTAAGAACCACAGATCTCTTGTTCCCTTCTTAGCCCACACCCAGCCCACATGTTGGCCATTTCCCAGTGTTCTGCATGGGAAGGCAGATTCATGATTTGGATTCCTGGCTTAAAGTCTTACCAGGAGTTTGAAATTAGGCCTGCGCCTTTATTCAACATAAGTCCCTCACCTGTAAAACAGCATAATAATAGAACCTCACAGCTTTGTTGTGAAAATAAAAGTAAGACAATGTGCATGAAGGGCTAATAAAGCCAGTCAATGACAGCTGTTAATACGATGGTGAAAAGATGATGAACTATTACAGGCTATCGCCTACCCGCTCATTTTAGTTCTATAAATTAGCCTTGAATTCTGGAACTGTATGTTTCAATATGCCCCTTAGAGCAGGATATTTTTCCAACCAATCAGACATAAGGACATCTATTCTTCTGTTTTAAATCTATCACATGTACATAACCACACACATGCAAACATGCACAGACATTTGAGCCTATTTGAATGTAAGAGAGGGCAGAAAAGAGTAGTGACAGAGACACTGGACTCTGCAACCTTTGATAGTCATTACTTAAGAGAGATATAACATGCCGATATCAGTTTATCAATAAATACTGTAATGTAGTCAAAATTATATTTAAATATATCATACTGTAACTAGCCCATGGCACACTTTATTAATAATTATTACATTGTGTGTTTACATGTGTGCCTTCTTAAAGAAGTAATGTAGTCTAAGACACTTCTTTTTATCTCTCCATTTCATCAACTCTTTTGATAACCTTCTGAGTCCGTTGTGCAGGGCAAATTAAACTTGTCAAAAATGATTAGAGT